AGGATGAACTCATCGTGCTCTGTTCAAAATCAATCGCATCACGTGGCCTTTTTGAGAAGCCATTGCAACCACCTCGACGTCAACTTTGGCCTCTATATACAGCAACGACTTGTTCAAACTCGGACGTGTTCCTTGCTGTAGGTTGCAAAATGACCTTGCATCAGCTGCTAAGGGATTTGCTTGCACCACCTGTTTCACGGAAACCTTCGACTATTTATATCGTTCGGTTACGGGAAAATATGTGTTAGGGGGGGACTTCAAGTTCCACAGTTGAAAATGATACCATTCGTAACTTTCTTCGAGTATATCTCAAAGACTACTTGGTTTTAGAGCAATCTATTGAGTGATCCTTGTATGTTATGGATAATACTTTCCACATACGAAATTTGAGATGATTTTGTGTTGATTTGATTAAATTCTGGTCATTTGGTTCCTCGATGATGTTGTCCACTATTAAAGGATGCGTATTTACAGAAGGATCGCGTCAATGTACTTTCAAAGTTTAGCAACTGACCATCATCTTGAACTCGAATATTTCGAGGTGTGTCTATAGAAAACGGTCGGACTGTATTAATACGAGGTAAGTTTTTCAACCTCGCGTGAAGTGTGTCAATCATGGGCCAAATGAGATGTCGTGGGGATATGCGTCATCAAACACGACCATTGCATGCTTTAGCTCCATGTTACGTCGTAGGTCTGTCTAGTACTGCACCGAGTTGAGCATCACAACGATCGCAGTCACGTTGTCTCGAGATCCTCGGACATCTATTGCATGATGGACAAGCCTCTACAAACGTGGGTCAGCCTGACAATTTCCTCGCGAACGCCCGACCTCAACACTGCGCTGAATGTCGCCGCACTTGCTCAGTTCATGCCTACATCACCATGATAAATTGCATGATGGGTGTATCATCTGAATGGACCTGATAAAGTCCACCGCTACTTGGTCTTCAAAGACATCGAACAAGCCGTCGCTCGCCATGAGGATGAACTCATCGTGCTCTGTTCAAAATCAATCGCGTCAACATGCCTCGCCAGTGTTTCCTCGAACCTGTGATTTGTACTTGCGAGATTTCCGGCGTTGAAATGACCAACGGACCCTTGAGGATCTCACTTGGATCGATCATCGGCTGCTCGACTCCATGCTCGTCTTCAAGCCTCTGACACCGACTTGTCAAATGGAAAGTTTTGTCAGGATGGAGCACGTCACCAGTCCAGTTTGACTAGAGTATGCATCGTACGTCTTGAATTCGCAGTCGCCAAACGCCCTCGACACGGCCAACTCGCCCATGACGCGTCTACAACAAAGGCTTGATGAGAAAGCACGCTGGCCAGAACTTTGCTTACCCATGAATGATGAAGCCGCCCGTATCTCGGATCCTCTGCGCTTCGTCCGGTCTAAACAACAGCCATGAACTTGGCAATCAAATCAAGTCACTGCGCTAACCTCGAAGGTTTGTGGTCGTTTGAAAGACGAATGCCTCGGCCATTGCGACTTAAGACTGTACGCGAGTCCCCAACATTGGCAGTGTAAATGGTGGACCCAGCAATGACGACAGTAGTCGCCGTACTGCCAGCTTGGGGTCGACTCGAAGTCTACACAAACAATAGAATTCTCGTCTCGAGGGCCAATGTACCTTCAAAAAGTCAGTGTCCGTTGTCTCAAATGCGCACGTCAAGCCCTACAGCACATCAGGATCAAGTCACGCTGCACGAATTCAGTCGTGTACTCGTGCGATGATGCTGTGCACGTCGTCCACATTCATGCCGTTGTCGCGGCACAGATTCTGCGCATGCACATTCAGCCCAAAATGACACAAGCTATGCATACGTTGATGTGGCAGAGCAGGTTCTTGTGAAGGTGATCGTTGACGTATTGCGATGCCTCCAACCCCCCTGCCGTCGTGTCGTAAGAGAGAGTCCCAGTGCGCGCAGTCGTACCATGGCCATCGAACACGCCAAAAAACGACTGCGGAGATATCCCCGCGGCCGACAGCCCTGATATGTTGAGATCCTGACGATGCCGCACGATACGTCATGTGCCGACGATACAACATGCGACCGAGTCTACCTGAATGATCGTATGGGCATCTTCCATGTGCTTGCGCGCCCCCATGTTTTCGCACACGCCAAAGTCAAACCTGGTCAGCGCTGCTCACACACACAAGTTCACGCCGACCGTGTTACCGATTCACGGAAAAGCAAGTTTGGGACACGAGGATCTGGTCCCCGATCTCCAGGCGATACGGATCGCTGTACGCGCTGCACAACCGCATGAACGTTGCGTTGGTGGACCCGATGTCTTGGAGGTAGAACATGCCGTCGTCAAACCACACGGCAGCATGGCGGCGTGAGAGTTCGCCGTCACCTATTCAAAGATCGCGTTTGTCGCGGCGTGAGATTGCGCTGTGGTGGTGCCTGACGCACCTGTGTGGATTGTGTTGTCTGCGGACCGGCCGATTGTGCCACCTGCAGCATCGAACAGGTAGGTTTTGCCAGCTAGCTTCCCCGATTGAACGCGCAACGACATCGAAGGCTTCTCGCCGACGATAGCAATCACTTCAAAGTCGGACTTGCCCACTCGAAATCGGCACCCGACATCCAACGGCCACTGCTTTGTCGACACAACGTCGCCAGCGACGCACGGCCTACACGTCGACAGTCGGCCCCAACACTTCAATGGTGTCTGCACACGTACGTTAGCCGAATGTACGTGCCAATGTCAGCATTGCAGGTGCTTTGGTTGCTCAAAATAAAATACCCGCCGACTTGAGGGTCGAACCGCACAACCGCGTGATTGACCTCGGCCATGTGCTTGTCTGCGGGGATGCTCACGGCATTCGAAGCTGCTCTCCCGATACCGTTGTCCAAGAGGTGGGGACTCAGGACAAAGGACGTTCGCAGGTCCTGCTCTGTCTGAACGGTCATTTTCAGCACAATTGGGAGAAACCCAGTCATGGGAACGTTCGCCTGACCGCCCACAACGTCATTTCTGAAAGGAGTACGCAACGTTAGACGAAAATGACGCACTGCGGGCGCCTACCGAGACAGGCGGGACCGACCAGACAATCGTCTCGGCACGAATGGAAGAGGTCTACTTGCCAACACTGGAGTACACTACACGTTAGGATTGAACGACCCAAGAACGACTTTACCTCTAGGCTGAAGTATTATCGTGGGCGAACGGCGCGTCCTCTGCTCGATTTCTGTACCAAACACTGCTTTCTTCGCATGAGAAGCCAAAGGTCGTTGTCGGGACAAATTGTACCATCTCCTGCGTTGCAACGACTGTCAAGGACGAGCTCTCTTGGGGAGAACAGAGTAATCAGGGGCTCTGCAGTGGCTGTTGTGTGGACCAGCGGAACCGGGTTCTCTGTTCCGACTGTGATGACCGTATGGGCCGCATGAGCGCGCCGATCTTCCATGCCTTGCTTTGATCACGACGAGCTCAAATCCCAATGCTTGCACACTAAATAAGTCTTTGTAGGAACTACTATGACTACAAACATTCAGATTACATCCTGTAGTAATAGTAGTCACACTCCTTCGCTTACTACGCATTCATTCACCAGCAAACTTACTACCCAGATTTAGTATGTTTCGGGCAGAGAGCTTAAACAAAGAAAAAAGCTTGCAGGGGTCGTATGGGCAATGGAACTTGGTGTATCCTGCGATGCGTCGGCTGTGGCAGGCGGGGCGACGATCTCGTTGGACGCGTCCAGGATGTCCCACACCGACACGCGGCTTGCTGACATG